TTTCCGCCTCAGCCTTCCGAGTAGCCGGAATTACAGGCATGCGCTACCATACCCGGCTGATTTTTTGATTTATCGTAGAGATGAGGTCTCGCTGCCCAGGCGGGTCTCGAATCCGCGGGCTCAGGCAGTCCATTCGCCTCAGCCTCCCAAAGGCACGGGATTACAGGCGCAGGATTACAGCCACCGAACCCGGCTTATTTTATTTTTTATAGAGGTCTTACCAGGTTGCCCAAGCTGGTCTCCAGCCCCTTGGCTCAGGCAATCCTTTCACCTCAGCCTCCAAAAGTTCTGGGACTATAGGTGTGAGCCACCGTGCTCAGCTTTCCTAAATATTTTAATCCCTAAAATACCTGATATTCAGTGCCCTTTGTTCACCTTGATTTCAGCTTCTACAGGTTCTGGGTAAACAGGTGGAGAGACAGAGAAAAAGTGAGGGAGAATGACTATGAAAATGCAGGTGACCTTGCTCATGCTTCCTTTTTTTCTCCCCTAAGCTGTGGTTGTCAGTCCTCAGACATGCATACATGTCACCAGAAGTGCTTGGGAGGCTTGTAGGGTCCCATTCTCAGGTGCGCCGATCTACTGGGCTTGGTTAGGGTAGGATGGTGATGGGGAGGGGCCTAGAACTCCTCATTAAAAAGCATAATAAGCCAGGTGCAGTGGCTCACACCTGCAATCCCAGCATTTGGGAGGTGGAAGTGAGATGACTGCCTGAGCCCAGGGGTTTGAGAACAGCCTGGGCAACTTGCCAAGACCTCATCATCTCTACGATAAATAAGAAAATTAGCCAGGTGTGGTGGTGCACACCTGTGGTTCCAGCTACTTGGAAGGCTGAGGCAGAAGGATTGCCTGAGCCCAGCGGGTCGAGGCTGCGGTAGCCATAGGTGTGCCCCTGCCCTCCAGCCTGGGTGACAGAGTGAGATCCTGACTTAAAAAAAGAAAAACTTCAGAGACAATTCTCACAGAGATCACCCAAGACCACAGTGATCGCCCAGGACCACTTCCCTTTGGTAATCTAGAGTTTAGCCTCCAAGATATGTATCAGACCATACTCTTCCTTGGTTAAAAAATAAAATTATAGCCGGGCTCGGTGGCTCAGCCTGTAATCCCGCGCCTTTGGGAGGCTGAGGTGAGTGGATTGCCTCGAGACCCACCTGGGCAGGCGAGACCTCATCTCTACAATAAATCAAAAAATTAGCTGGG